ACTGGCAATCATTGTGTTATGTAAAAGAAAGCAAACAGAAAGAAAAAAAATCCCACCTATACTGCCTCGGATGTAGAAATCTAGACTTAAATTTTTAGTTATGTGTATTTTGTTTATATGCATCCATGTGTTGACATAAATGTAGAAAGGGGATGATGAGAGACAAAGAGGAGTTCAATGGGAACAAGGGGGCAAGACAGGATAATAAAGAAGTGCAACAAGGAAGAGAAAGAATGTTTACTCTGGTCAAAGTATTTTGCAATATATACATTTATCAAGAGATCACAGGATGGCCCTTGAAGGCATGCAAACTTCTCTATTTTTAGCATACATAAATTAATTATTTCAATTTTAAAATTACATATTACGAGAATCCTAAATTTATCTTGTATTGTTTAAAGCTATAATCTCATTTTGAAGTATAATTATTTTAATGATTAACTTTCATTTTTGTGTTTTGTCTGATGATGTATTACTCATTTTCCTTGTTCAACAAACATTGAGGGAATGGTGTCTGACCTTTTATATTTCATAAGATTAATTTGTCTATATGTGGCCTGTTTAATTCAGAAGGCTTTTTGCCCTTTTGGTTAATGGTAGTGTGGCTGTGAGAGAGAACACTCCCAGTAATGAATGACAACACAGAGTTGCAAGGAGGAGCCAAATGCTTTCAGTTCCAATTTATAAACCTACCCACTTTAATTAAGAAAAGTAATCTGTATGGTAATAGAAAGCCAACCATTTGCAAGGGGAAAAGAATCACCTGCCATAGCATCAAGAAGCTGTGTATGTACCAAGAGAAATACATAGAGCCCAAGTGTAATGTATTGTAAGTGAATAATGCCCTGAAGTAATCAAAGTGAGAAGCTACCTGCAGAAAGGGAAGCCTATAAACAAAATTAAATTGTCAGTAATTACGGTCAGGTGAGACTCTTAGAAACAGTTTAATAACTAACTTGCTGTTTTAAAGTTGAAATAGACCATGAATTCTGTATGCTGATTGCTGTTGTTTCCCTCTATGGTTGTTTTAATACTCCTATAAACTGAATGTATCAATGAAAGAATATAGGAAATATGTCAATTCTAAGGACAGTGAAGCATCTGTTACGATGGGTGAGGGCTACTCAAAATCAGTTGACTAATCAATGATAGTCATTGACAGAGTAACTGTGAAAACCGATACCAATCTGACTTCTTGACCCAAGACTTCTCCAAAGTCCTTGATAATGTGATTAGGATCATTTCACACAATAAAAAATTCTGAGAAAGCATGAAAGCTATCATAAAGAATTTTTAATGGGGAAATGTCTTATGCCATACAAAATAGAAATGTTCCTATGTGAAAAATGTTTCAATAACTAAACTCCTGTTATTTTGCTCTAGGCTGTTGTTAATAAAAGAGTCTTCAAATTTCTGTATAATAATGAACCAATGAAAATATAACATTTTCTTATTTGTTAGAGTCAAGATGATGCTAACTAAGTGTTAATACTGTAAGTAATGAAAAATAATTTGAGCAAATGCACAGTTAGATGGACAGGAAATCAGCCTTCAATCTCTCACCCAAAAATACTGTCTTCACTCCTCAATGACATAGTTTCAGTTTCCCCTCCTTCCACTCCTCCCATACCCCAACACTTCCCCTCTCCCCCAGATCAACTCCTTCTCCCTTCCGTCACCCCTCAAAAAGAAAAAAAGGAGCAGGCCTCCCAGTGATATCCATGGAACATGGCCTAACAAGATACAATAAGACTGGGCACAAACCCTCATTTCAAGGTTGGTTGAGGAAACCCAGTAAAAGGAAAAGGGTCCTAAGGGCAAGCAAAAGAGCCAGAGAAATCTTCCACTCCCAATATTGGGACTCCCACGAGAACAACAAGCAACACAGTCTTAAGATAGGTGCAGAGGACCTAGCTCAGACCCATACTGAGTACATGTTTGTCCTTTCACTGTCTGTAAGCCCCTATGATCCCTGCCTAGTTGGTTTTGTGAGCTGTGTTCTCTCGGTGTCCTCTTGATGTCCTTGACCCCTCTGGCTCTTACAATCCTTCCCCTGCCTCTTCTTTGGGGTTCCCCTGGCTCTACCTAGAGTTTAACTGTGGCTCTCTGTATATGTCCTGATAACAATAGCACAGGCACTAAGAACAACAATTAATGAATGGGGCCCCATGAAACTTAGAAACTTCTGTAAGGCAGAGCAATACTTTGGGCTGAAGAGAGGAATAACCATAGCCTAGAAACTATAGAAAGAAAACAAATGAAGCTGTAATTACTGAAACACATAATGGGACTAAGAATACAAGCAGAAAAATGGATAACAGCAGTCATCACAGACCTTTCAATAATAGATTTAACTCTTAGTTGCCTCATCTCACCAGTTAAAATACACAGGTTAGTTAAATGTACTACAAAAAAATTGATCTTTCTGTTGTCTACAAGAAATTCATTTTATTTTAAAGACAGGAACTGCTTTAAAATGAAAGGATGTAGAAAAGTATTCCAGACACTTGATTAGGAATCTAGTAGGCATTGATAGCCTAATAGCTAATAAAATAGACTCCAAACTAAGACAAACCTGAACAGATAAAGAAGGCAGTTTAATTCTAATTAAGGGAATTATGATCCATTAAGACATTACATTCCTAAACATATGTAGCAAACTTTGGTGCTTCCAATTTCATGACAAGTGTATGATTGAACTTCAGGTCACAGATTAACTTCAACTCAGACACAGTTGGACATCTGGACAAAAATGAACAGCAAAACATCAGAACTAAGTGAAAGCATAAAACAAATGATATTAACATATCTATAGAATATTCCACTAAACCTCTATAGACTATGCATTCTACTCGACAGCCCATGGAAGCCTCTCTAAAATAGACCACCCACAGGGACACAAAAAATCTTAACAAATTCAATAAAATAAAATAACTTTGTGTACCACATCTTGCCACAATGCTATAACATTTATACTCAATAAAAAATGAATCTTCAGTAAGTGTACAAACTCATGGATGTTAAACAAGACACTACTGAACAATCAATGCGTTAAAGAAACCGTTGAGAAATAGTAAAAATAAGTGACTAAATGATACAACTTGGGAATTTTTACAGGAAAAGACTTTTATGTAAAAAACCTGGTAGTGCAGACATTAAATGGGACCCCAAGAAACCAGAAATTTTCTGTACAGCAAAGAACACCATCTTTCAAGCAAAGAGACAGACCACAGAATAGGGAAAAATGTCAGTTGTCAGTTTGATAGTATCTAGATTACACAATAAATTAAAAACATACAAACACTCACACAAAACCTAAACAAGAAAACAACCAACATGACTTCTTGTGGTGGTACCTGTCTTTAATCTCAGAACTCATGAGGCAGATGGATCTCTGTGAATTGAAACCAGCCTAGTCTACAGAGTGATTTCCAGGACAGCCAGGGCTACTCAAAGAAACTTTGTCTTGAAAAACAAACAACTCAAGAAAATAAACAAACAATAGAGTGTGGATCAAAACAGTTCTCAAAACACAAAATACAAATAGCTGAAACGGTTTTTTTTTTACAATATTAAACATCTTTGGATCTCAGTGAAATGCAAATTTGACCTACTGAGATTTCATCTTCCACGAGTCAGAATGACCCATATCCAGAGATAAATGACACTAGACACTGGCTTGGGTGATGGGAAAGAGGAATATTCACTGCTGGTGGGAATGTACTCTGGCACAACCACTATGGAAATTGGTGTGGAGATTCCTGCCAAAGCTGAACATCTACCTACAATATCCAACTATGCTACTCTTTGGCATATACCCAGAGAGCCCTACATCTTACTATAAAGATATTTGCTCATCCATGTTCATTGCTGTTCTAGACACGATAGCAATAAATTTGAAAGACTGTAGATGACTATCAACTGATACATTGGTAATAAAAATGTGGCACATTTATTTAAACAATAAAATATTCAGCTGTGACAATAAAATAATGGAAAATTCAGGTTAGTGAATGGAGCTGAAAACATTCTTCCTGAGTGAGGTAATCCAGATATATCATACATAATCATACATACATCAGGCAAACATCATACATCATATATCATACATTCACTCTCATTCCTTGAAAGTTAGCTTTTAGCCTTCAGATAGGTATTCCATTTAGAATACCCACAGACATCAGGAATATACTAAGGGCTATCATGAGGAAGGGCTTTCAAGGGAAGTAAAATAAAATAGGGTTGAAGGGAGAAACTTACAGAAATAATCCAGTTTCAGCACAGGGACAGGATACAAAATCAACTTTTTCCATATCAATAAGTGACAGAGTGGGGCCAATGAAGTTTGCATTTGTCTTGGTAGTGCTGAGCCTTATCTTTCATTAGACAAGGAAACTTTCATTTTCTAAGATATTAAGTCCACTTTCTTCCCTCCCTGAGGTCTTGTCAATGATCCTTCTCTCATTTTCTCTACAAGGGTCTTCACCTTAGTTAAAAAATATATCCCCAAGTGTGTCTCATCCTTAATTTTTACAAAATGATTTGTGGTACTTATTACTCACATTTCACTGCTCTGGCTGAAGTATTACCTCACTAAAATGTGGTCTTCACTACTTCATTTCTGTATGTCCTTATTGCTTGTTTGAGGCAACGCCCGGCTCCTTTTCCAAATTTCTTGCTTAGCCACACTTTTTGTTATCCCTTCGCTTCCTCCCCCTAACCTTATCCTTCTCTCTTTATTGTTCTTGTTCTCCCTCTCTCTATCTCCCTCTCCTGTTTCCTCATTCCTTCCCTCCCTCTCTCCTTCTCCTACCCTCTCTCACTCTTCCCCAGCCAGCAGGTTTTAAATCAAAGATTGCACACAAGTTTTATTCTTGACTCTCCAACACATTTAAAGTCCTTAGTGCTCAAAGAACATTGACTGAATTAGAATATGGGAGGTTATAGAAGTTATCTCGTCATAATTTAGATCTTTGCTCTTTGTCTTTTTTTTAAATATATATCCAAAATGTGTTTATTGGGATGGTTCCCACGCATCTTGAATCAGGTGCTTCTCAGTGCTGCTTCCTCCTGAAGGAGCATCCTTCTGTCAGCCTTGCTTTTCCATCCGTAGGCTGACAGAGGACAGTGGAGCAGCCAAGACACAAGACTACCGTTTGTGCATGGCTGAAGACCGTGGTGATTTTATAGCATCCTGGGCACTTGACATCCATAAAGTACGAGTTGGGGCTCTGCATCAGGCGCTTTTTCTTGTGTTTCCTCTTCTCCTCCTCTGGAGAGGGATGAAGGAGATCCTTTGCGAGCTGTGAGGAGCAGAAATGCAGAGATTTAGAGGGAGCCGGTCAAAGAGACCATGGCAGGCAGTCCCTGCTGTCACACGCCGACGAGAGCTCGCCCCTCGCCGCCCCTGGCGTCGGCATAGCTGGGCCCTGCTCTTTGTCTTTACAGACACCTCAATTCTTTATGATACTTGTTTAATATTGTAAAGTGTGTAGAAGACATTTCATGAGGAGGTGACTCTCTAGCCTTCCATGCCTTCTTCTCTCCAGCTGATGCTCAAGCACAGTGGAGGGAGAGGAGTGTCAGGCACAAGGTGGGAAACTGTGACAATGATGAGCATCTGTCTATAAACCCAGAGGCATTAGTGAAAGACAACGGGCCCAAGATGGCCGGAATTTCTCAACAAGGTCAAGAACCAAAATCAAGCAATGACTCAACTGAGACTAGCGCTTCTGTTTTAAGGAGTGTCCATGGACTATCCACTCCTGATAAGTTCCAGGAACCTTATAGATTAGCGTTAGTGTTCTACAGTGGAGCTCATTCCATCTAACTGCACAGTGTTACCTCAACTCACTGAGCAGCCACACGGTCTCAGCTTCAGATCACATGCTCTTCCTCCTGAAATATAGTTACTTGTCATCTCCTGCTCTGTCCCATTCACTCATCTATTTATAAAGGAATTTGCTAGTGCTTGCCACCTGGCAGCTTTCTGCCCACTGTCTAGGAGACTATGAGATTAGAGGGGCTGGGGTACACAGACAAGCATTATTAAACTTTTCTTTGGAGGCAATGTCGATATGAAGGGCAAAAGGAGTTGACACCATCTCAAGAAGCACCCACTCTATTTCTACACTGACTACCCCTCCTATTGGTAATATTAATTAATGTGTCATTTAACTTGAGCTTCTTGCCATTAATATTACCTCTCTTGCATTGTTTAAAGAGCTTGTACACTTCCTTGTAGACAATTCTACAAGGAAGAATTAAGGTCGTTGTGCAAAAATCTACAAAAACCTTATTTGTTTCAAATCGAAAGATCAAATAGTCCAAGTTTAAAGGAGTGTCCATCCTGAAGATAAAATGGCGAGAGCCCTGCTTCCGACAGAAATTTAAATATGATCTGTATCAAGAGCATTACAGATAACTCATTGAGTGGAAGGTTTGACTTGGCAACCCCTCTGATAACTTCAGACACAAAGTCTGAAGAACATTAAAATTAAGATTCAGAATTATACATATGAGATTTTTATCCTTGTATATACAGAATATACAAAAAATCAGGTATTGGTTGTTTAATGATGATGTGTTGCTCTCTTTGCCAAATTTTATACTGCATTGTGAAAATCACAAAGCTGATGATAGTACCTACCATTTATCAAATCTCTGCCATGTTCCAGGCACAGCACTAAGTGTTAATCTTTAACCTCAACAAGAAATTCTGCAAGATGGTTACTAATGAAAGCATAACAAAGTGTTTTAGCAACTTAGTCAAGATCACATAGTAAACAAAAGAGCTAAAACTTTTACCCTGGTCTGACTATAAATTGTCAATCACTTATCTATACTGTTCAAGCCTCACTATTAAATATCAGCTTGAGAAAATGAGTCATTGTTTAATGTTTGGTACTAGAATAACAGTAAGATGGTGCAATAATAAATTTAAAGCTGTCTAGTAATAAAAATGTAGTTCCTGTCTTTAAAGATCGAACCATCTGGTAAGGAAAGGAAAAACAACACTATTGAAATGCTAACTTCCTAAGCAAGTACAAATAATGAACACACCAGGTAAAACTTATTTTGGTATCACAAATAGAGTACAGAATTTCACTTTTTCATCTGTTAACCCATTAGAACCTTTATTTTCAAGTGTGTTTGTAAGCCAATTCACAAGGCTGTTTGAATATCACCTTATTGCTATGTGGCTGTATTGATAGCTTTTACTGAGAAGATCAATAAATATACTACAAACTCAGGAGCTGCTGAATACAATATTTGCCCTTTGTTTTACAAGTCCAGCTACTATTTACACAACTTGATATCATTTGCACTGCCTTCCTATAGATTGCTAACCTGCTTGAATTCTTTGTTCAAGAATAACCCCACCATACCAGCCTGCTGCTGTCCCAGCTGCTCTCCTGTCTGCCACTGCTTTGTCCTTACAGTTGCTCCCAGGCTGTGCTGTTTCAAGTGGCCTCTCGGTTGTTTATATAAATAATGAAATTTAGATCCAAGTTCTTTCACCAGACACCATATGGACTCTATTACCAAATTGTGTGAGTTACTGAATCAATGCTTCATCGGATCAACAATAAAATGGAGCACATTAGATATAAGAGATCAATGAAGTAACGCAGTAAATACCTCTAGTGCAATGGGTTCCAAAATGGTGGCAGTATGACTCTATTAGGATAAAGAATTATTATAACTAGCTCTCCCACTCATACTCAAGAAAGGTTAAATAAGTCAAATATCACAAAACACATCCACTACTATTTTATGTATGTATGACTATGAAAACACAAATATATTTAAATCATTATTGGATTTGTATAGCTTAATATAACCTGAAAAATTGGTCATAGTTTTGCTTGAAATTTCATATATGCTTGAATTTTTCTGTCAAATCCACCTCCATTTTCTGCTCTCCAATTCTTCAAGCTAAAAATAATCACACCCAAGGAAACGCAAAAGAAACAATACTACAGCTTAAATCACATATTGACCCCCACATACTGATAATGGGAGATTTCAATATCTTATTCTCAACCAATAGACAGGTCACCCAGAAAAAGCTAAGTATAGAAATATTGGAACTAACAGATGGTATGAACCAGTGGACCTAACGTATTTGCAGAACATTTGTCCCAAACATTACTCCCAAAAGAGTATTCCTTCTTATCTGTATGTCATGGAACTTTCTTCAAAAGGGACCACATTCACACACAAAGCAAGCCTCAACAGATACAAGAAATAACACCTTGCTTCCTATCTGACCATCACAGATTAAGGCTGGTTATTAACATATCTTATTACCTGACAAAGCATCCAGTAGCAGGAATGGGCTATATCTAATTGAATAGTTGGCCAAAGGAATTCTATGAAAATCCCCACACAACCCAGACTGTTGCGAAGACTACAGTTTGCTCTCGCTGAACTGATGGCAAGGCTCCATTGCTGAAGATCACATCTACACAACTCATTGAACATGGAGGAGTCAAGCTAGTGACTACATAGCACTCGGGAGGCAGAGGCAGGCGGATCTCTGTGAGTTCGAGGCCGGGCTGGGCTGATAGCCTCTGAAACAATACCGAGAAACCCTGTCTCGTAAAAACCAAAGAAAAAAATCAGTGTCTTGTTCCACCATCATCAGAGAAGCTTCCCCTGTGCAGCAGATGGGAACAAATTCAGAGACCCACAGCCAGACCCTAAACCATGGAATACTGTCATAAATGGATGTCTCCATCATATCCCTTCCTGCAGGGTTCAGGGATCGCTGTGGAAGAGGAGGAGACAGAAAAGAGCCAAAGAGAATGGAGGACACTAAGCAAATAAGGCCTACTACATCACCAGGGTCTATGCACATATGAACTCAAAGATACTCAGGCATCTGTCATACACAGGACCTACACCAGATGGGACCCTAGTACTGATGCAGAATCTAACTCCAATCAATAACCATTTACAAATGAAAATGTAATTTCCTCCAAGGTTGTCAGCATCACTAGGGAAACAAAGTACTCGTAAGGATAGGCTGCTTTGGCTCGAGAAATGGCTAAGCCATTAAAGGCTAGACTCACAATCAAAGACATAAGCATAAACAGCTTGTGCAGCAGTAGATGGCCAATAGAAAATGAACTCAAAGCATATTTGGAGGTCCCTTGTCTCAAAATGTCTTGTCATGGTTTATAAAATTTTATCTACCATATTTTTATTTTTCTTCTTCCATTTTTATCTTAAAGGTCCTTTGCATACATATTATGGCCTCTAGTTAATTGTGTTTGTGGGATTCCTGAGTGTGTGAACAAGTGGGTCTCTGATTCTTGTGCCTCCTCCTGATCTTTTCCTTGTATCTGCTTGTTTGTTCAATTCTAGTGTGTTGTTTTTGTTTCATCCTATTACATCTTATTTCTTGTTATCCATTAGAAGCCTATTTGTTTTCTCGAAAGACAGAAAGGGGGTAGATCTGGATGGGAGGGGACATAGGAGGAAATGGGAGGCTTGGAGGTAGGGAAGCCATAATCAGGATATATTATGTGAGAAAAAATGTCTATTTTCAGTAAAAGGAAAAAATATAAGAAGTCATTTATTCAAGCATATAAAATCATAGTGGTAACATTGAATTTTATAGATTTTCCTATTTCTGGGAATATCTGTGCATTTAAATTGCATGGTGATCCATACATCCATTTTTATTATGCTTTTCTCTTCCATACTGTTCACATGCTTGTGTTTCTGATTGTGTGTATATATGTAGTACTGGGGTCACACTCAGAGTTACATATATGCAAGACAAGCCTTGACATCAATTTCCATATCATCATAAATAGTCTTTATAATTGCAAGCATACTTGATTCAGTATCTTTACCATAATTCAGTTTGTTAGTATGCATCATACCCTTGAAAGTGTAGTGATACAGACAGTCTTGGACATGTAGTGGTAATTGAAGCATAATATCAGTGTAACTGTGGCATTGCTGCTATAACTTGTCTCCTATTTTTGAAACATGAGTTTGAATGTATACTATTTCTATATTCAGAATGATCTATGTAATTCATATAATTTCATATGTCCATTTTACTGGGCAATAGGAGAATCTATTTTTTTTTTGTTTCAGGACCAGTTGAAAGTAGATAAGAAACTAGGTATTGAGATTTTACTCAATAAGGGTTTAAAGACCCTTAACTTGATTTAACAGACTAGCAATGATTGTAGCCACATGTTGATCTGAATAAGGTATATGCCACAGGCTAAAAACAAACAAGCAAGCAAACAATACCACAAATCCAACAAAGATATTTCCC